CCCCTTACCTGTCACCACAACCCCCTTACCTGTCACCACAACCCCTAACCCTGTCATTGACAAAAAAAACTGTCCCTTAAAAAAATAATCCCACAGTGTAACTACTATACTCGTGGGCTTTGAATACCTTTACAAAAAACGTAAAAAAATACAAAAAAAAGTAATTTAATACATAACAGCATCACCATTCTACATCATCAGTTCTCTCCCCTCCACAATAGCCGCAATCAGCCCTCGCCACCACCACACAAACACAAACGAGTGTCTAAAATAAGGAAGGAGGAAAGAAAATGTTATCCTAAATATAGCATCAGAGGAACAAAATGTCCAGGCGAAAACAGGTTTGGTCTTTCATATATATATATATATATATATATATATATATATATATATATATATATATATATATATATATATATATATATATATATATATATATATGGTAGGAGAAGCGAACACTCTTACGTATTCAGAGTTAAATGGCAAGTTTTTTCCCTGAATGCTCTGTGTTCCCTTCTCTGAGGCTGTGGGTCCCTATAATTGCACCAGTGGTGGTACCACCCTATATCCCTATATATATATATATATATATATATATATATATATATATATATATATATATATATATATATATATATATATATATATATATATATATTCAATACGGTAATTTCTGTATATCGCTAAAAAATATTGTTTTCAAATTCCATGTGGCTTTCAAGCATTATTTAAATACATTTTGAGATGGTCTGGGGAGAAGGAACTAGGGCGAGTTCATAGGAAGTTTTAAGCTCAGTATATTGTGCGACCTTTCACCTTCTCTCTACTTCCTGTGGTGATGTGAAGAGTAGCAAGCAAAAGCAACTTTGAAACGACTCTTAAGAGTTAATTTCCAGCAGAGTATATATATATATATATATATATATATATTTCCGAGAGAAATTAATTGCCACGTTTTGGATTTGCTGAAGATCAAAAGATTCACATTGGAGAGTAAACTAGAGATATTTGAGTGTTTCAGGTCAAAGGGTTATATTGAGAGGTTATCTTGAGATGATTTCGGGGCTTTAGTGTCCCCGCGGCCCGGTCCTCGACCAGGCCTCCACCCCCAGGAAGCAGCCCGTGACAGCTGACTAACTCCCAGGTACCTATTTACTGCTAGGTAACAGGGGCATTCAGGGTGAAAGAAACGTTGCCCATTTGTTTCTGCCTCGTGCGGGAATCGAACCAGCACCACAGAATTACGAGTCCTGCGCGCTATCCACCAGGCTACGAGGCCCCAGGGTATAGTAAGTCTCCCCTCAAGAGGAAGGATTTGGTCTGTAGGTGACTTCCCCACTGCCATTTCCCCTCACAAGACCTACGAGTCTCCTCCAATTTCGTGTGAGTTTTATTGAAGGGTGAGTGGAGCACCTCCTTCGATGGCGTGTAGGAGGGAGGAGACGTGTCAAGGGTGATGTAGTGAAGTACATGCCAGCCTTTAATGTCCATCCAACAGAAATTCCTGTAGCTTCTCTCGCTCTCCCTGTATTTCAAAATTACAGGAGCATATGTTAAAGTGCATAAACATAGTTCACAGGAGGAGTATTGGTTCGAGTCACTTCCGGGGTGTGAGTTCAGATAGTGAGTATATATATATATATATATATACTCAAGGGTGTGAGTATATATATATATATATATATATATATATATATATATATATATATATATATATATATATATATATATATATATATATATATATATATATATATATATATATATATATATATATATATATATATATATATATATATATATATATATATATATATATATATATATATATATATATATATATATATATATATATATATATATATATATACGTCAATAGACAGTTTATATATATATTTCATTTTGCTGTGCAGTAGTTCACTAGAACAACTACGCTAGACGATTTTTCAACCATTTGATTTCATTTAAATTGTAAGATTCTCCCTAAAGGGAGCCGGTCGGCCGAGCGGACAGCACGCGAGACTCGTGATCCTGTGATCCTGGGTTCGATCCCAGGCGCTGGCGAGAAACAATGGGCAGAGTTTCTTTCACCCTATGCTCCTGTTACCTAGCAGTAACATAGGTACCTGGGTGTTAGTCAGCTGTCACGGGCTGCTTCCTAGGGGTGGAGGCCTGGTCGAGGACCGGGCCGCGGGGACACTAAAAGCCCCGAAATCATCTCAAGATAACCTCAAGATAACTAAACTAATGGTTACTATTGGGTGGCCACGAGAACTAAGGCACGCGATGTGTGACCTTATTTGCACTCGAAGGTCCTCCAGCAACTGTGGTCCAGTCCAACCAGTCATCAAAACATTGGTCAAATGCTCGTTAGGTCCGCTACTATACAACCCGTCCTTAGACCGAGTCCATTCCATCCAGCGGTCGACACCAAGAACGCCAGGGGCTCACCATAGCCCGTGCTACTTGCCCCGCTCCTGTGCCAGGTACGTTACGGGCTCACCATAATCCGTGCTACTTGCCCCGCTCCTGTGCCAGGTACGTTACGGGCTCACCATAGCCCGTGCTACTTGCCCCGCTCCTGTGCCAGGTACGTTACGGGCTCACCATAATCCGTGCTACTTACCCCGCTCCTGTGCCAGGTACGTTACGGGCTCACCATAATCCGTGCTACTTGCCCCGCTCCTGTGCCAGGTACGTTACGGGCTCACCATAATCCGTGCTACTTGCCCCGCTCCTGTGCCAGGTACGTTACGGGCTCACCATAATCCGTGCTACTTGCCCCGCTCCTGTGCCAGGTACGTTACGGGCTCACCATAGCCCGTGCTACTTGCCCCGCTCCTGTGCCAGGTACGTTACGGGCTCACCATAGCCCGTGCTACTTGCCCCGCTCCTGTGCCAGGTACGTTACGGGCTCACCATAGCCCGTGCTACTTGCCCCGCTCCTGTGCCAGGTACGTTACGGGCTCGCCATAATCCGTGCTACTTGCCCCGCTCCTGTGCCAGGTACGTTACGGGCTCGCCATAGTCCGTGCTACTTGGAACTTGTTCCGAGTAGCTGAATGTATAACAACAACAACTTAGGTTAGGTTAGGTTAGGTTAGGTTAGGTTAGGTTAGGTTAGGTTAGTGTTTAGGTTAGGTTAGGTTAGGTTACTGTTTAGGTTAGGTTAGGTTAGGTTAGGTTAGTGTTTAGGTTAGGTTAGGTTAGGTTAGGTTAGGTTAGTGTTTAGGTTAGGTTAGGTTAGGTTAGGTTAGGTTAGGTTAGGTTAGGTTAGGTTAGGTTAGTGTTTAGGTTAGGTTAGGTTAGGTTAGTGTTTAGGTTAGGTTAGGTTAGGTTAGTGTTTAGGTTAGGTTAGGTTAGGTTAGTGTTTAGGTTAGGTTAGGTTAGGTTAGGTTAGTGTTTAGGTTAGGTTAGGTTAGGTTAGGTTAGGTTAGGTTAGGTTAGTGTTTAGGTTAGGTTAGGTTAGGTTAGGTTAGGTTAGGTTAGGTTAGGTTAGGTTAGTGTTTAGGTTAGGTTAGGTTAGGTTAGGTTAGGTTAGGTTAGGTTAGGTTAGTGTTTAGGTTAGGTTAGGTTAGGTTAGTGTTTAGGTTAGGTTAGGTTAGGTTAGTGTTTAGGTTAGGTTAGGTTAGGTTAGGTTAGTGTTTAGGTTAGGTTAGGTTAGGTTAGGTTAGGTTAGTGTTTAGGTTAGGTTAGGTTAGGTTAGGTTAGGTTAGTGTTTAGGTTAGGTTAGGTTAGGTTAGTGTTTAGGTTAGGTTAGGTTAGGTTAGTGTTTAGGTTAGGTTAGGTTAGTGTTTAGGTTAGGTTAGGTTAGGTTAGGTTAGGTTAGGTTAGGTTAGGTTAGTGTTTAGGTTAGGTTAGGTTAGGTTAGTGTTTAGGTTAGGTTAGGTTAGGTTAGGTTAGTGTTTAGGTTAGGTTAGGTTAGGTTAGGTTAGGTTAGGTTAGTGTTTAGGTTAGGTTAGGTTAGGTGTTTAGGTTCTGTTGGCGATTATTTGTATTTGTAGAATGTGGGTGAAGCATTTACAGCGTTGTGGTTCGAACAAAAGTCGTCAGTGAAGCACTTGTTCCGGAAGTGTTCGGACGTCATCAGTCGTGAGTCGTGTGTGTGTGTAAACAGTTCTTCGTTCATACACAGGCGGGTTTGGCGGGTCCATGGAATGGACTTTGGCCTTTATTTATGAGGACGGGCTGCACTAAATCGCCTTTTTACGAATGGAAAACTCTTTACACACGACTCGCAGAAGATTACATTTGAACTGTCCTCGAACATTGTTCCAATCCTTTAATGTTCCAATCTCACCACCAATAATGTTCCGCTCACTGCAAGAACAAATATCTTCGAACGGAACCTAAATACCTAACCTAGTCCCAACCATGCGAAAAATTCTAATTCAAAATAAGTGGAATTTATATTTGAGAAAATGCAGAATTTTGAATGGACAATCGAGTTAAAATTAGCGAATGTGTCTTTGGGGTCAGCGGCAGCTTGAAGGTGCATGACAGAAGGATGGGTTGAGGATTGGGCACAGCTTAATCACCAATCAATCATCTTGCCTCATAGAAAGGCCAGTCTGGTGGAGCGTGACCTCAGAGACAGAGGCCCTACCACGAGACTTAATCTTTCTCAGCCTAGAAAGCTTTCTATGTCCCGAAGGTACCAATGTCCCGAAGGTACCAATGTCCCGAAGGTACCAATGTCCCGAAGGTACCAATGTCCCGAAGGTACCAATGTCCCGAAGGTACCAATGTCCTGAAGGTACCAATGTCCCGAAGGTACCAATTAAATCTCACTCAAATGGCGCGAAATCTTAACACCTATAATACCCGCATTCATTAATAATTATACAGACGAGGAGTCACAATAACGTGGCTGAAATATGTTGACCAGACCACACACTAGAAAGTGAAGGGACGACGACGACGTTTCGGTCCGTCCTGGACCATTCTCAAGTGATTTGATGATTATCACTCACTGGTCTGATAGTTTCTTCTACCGGCAGGTCCACAACGCTACCGCTGTCTTCATCATCAACCTGACGCTCTCCGATCTGATGTTCGGGGTGTTCAACCTGCCTCTTGCTGCCTCGTTGTTTGGGCATAGAGCCTGGGTACATACGGGCTTCCTGTGCCTACTCTTCCCTATCCTGCGCTATGGGCTGGTGGCAGTATCTGTCTTCACCGTTCTGGCTATCACTATCAATCGTTATGTTATGATTGCTCATCCCAGACTGTACCACAGGTGCGTGATATCTCTCTTATATCTCTCTCTCTCTCTTATCTCTCATATCTCTCTCTCGCTCTCTCCCTTCGTGTAAACAATTGCCTCTTTGCATGTATTTCCCCCTCTACTTGCATGTGTTTAAAGCATCAGTCACTATACCTGCACTATCACCATTCTAATGTGAAAAATCATCATTTTTTTATCAGGCATATTTACAACGATGTTCACCCACTGTTGTTCAACCAATAATGTTCTGTTCACCTATTTTTTCACCCATCTATGCTCACCTGTTCACTGATTGTTATTTATCAATGTTCACATGTTCACCTACAGTTCTTCAGGTCTTTAGATTTTTTTTTTATCTATGTGTATTCATTATCATATTCCAGCCATGAAATACATATATTTTATCACGTTTTTATACATATTTACTGAACTAATTACCTTAATTAGTTCAGTAAATATTACTGAACTAATTACTCGAGTCCTATAATTATATATATATATATATATATATATATATATATATATATATATATATATATATATATATATATATATATATAGTAATATTTTTGTTATCGGTAATATTCTAAGTGTTATTTTACTATTATAAGTAATATTATTTTTTTTAAGTATTATTGGAAGCAATGGCTTGTAGACTGACGTAAAAAAATGTGAAAAGGAGTGATTTTACGGTGGTGGAGCGTTCGAGTCCCGCCCTTCCTCATGAATATATTTCCCAGTTCGATACCCGCCCGATATTTTTCTAATAGCTAGGGAACTTTGAGGTTAAACGGCCCGATACGACAATGGTCACCATCCAAGGGGGACAACCCTCAAATGCTCCTTAATCCAGCAGACGCCTCTTAGTGAATGAATGAATGATATTTCAAGCACATTTTACAGCTGACAACGTCTGAACTTCTCTCGTTGCGCTTTGCTCGTTTCACATGTTCGAATTGCCCTACCGTAAGTGCCCTGCCTGCAGCTCCGTCCTCATCAACAAAGACCAAATGCTCGTTAGCCCAATCGCCAAACCCCCTTTGTTTTTTGAATGAAAAACTGTTTACACAAGATTCACAATTGATGCCGTTCGAACATTTTTCGAACAGTGCTTCGCTGGCTGACGACCTCTGTTCGAATCACCCCACTGTAAGTGCTTCACACACACAAGTACTTATACTAATATACAAGTACTTATAATAATTAATTAATTAATTAATTAATTAATTAATTAATAACAGAACTGAAATATTTAACCTCACCTACCCTATGGCTGCTCACAAAACTGTAATATACATTAATATTAAATTATAGTCGAGATAATGTGATTTTTGGTTACATATTAAATAATTGTGATTATAATTTTATATATAATTATATAATTGTTGGATATTATATATTATACAAAGGCGTCTTTGGGTAGGTCGGAGCTTGGACGAGCATAGGCCTATAGGAGGTTTTTTTTTTGTAAATTCAGCAACATTTGTTCCTTCAAAATGACCAAATTTACATTAATCTAATTAATTACCCTCATTCTCTCACCTCCTCCCCCACCCTGTCAGTGAATGAAGAACACTTTATACATTACTCATGTTTCTATCTTTCTTTCTTTCTTTCTTTCTCACTCTCTTTCTCTCTCTCTGTACCCGTCTGCATGCCCCATGGACACGTTCGGAACGCAATGCTGGGTGGGGGTATGGGGGGGGGGCTGAGACACTGTTATTCACTGCATACCCTTTCCTTCACTATCTCCCCTTCTCCTTCACCACCTTCCCTACCCATCACTTTATTTAATTTTAAAATCTTTTATACACACATGTGTACAAGTGTAAATCTGCGACGATTTACAAAAGTTCTCACTATTTTGCTAGCGTCCTGGAGGCATTGTCAGCTCTTGTCAGAGCTCTCCAGTTGAAGAGTTTACCCAACCTCTTATTGTGATAAAAACGCAATATGTTTTAAGATGTTGTAGAGCACTGTAGTGTCCTGTGTTTTTGTCAAAGCAATAATTAAGTCAAAGCTAGAGTGTGTGTGTGTGTGTACTCACCTAGTTGTACTCACCTAGTTGTGTTTGCGGGGGTTGAGCTCTGGCTCTTTGGTCCCGCCTCTCAACCGTCAATCAACAGGTGTACAGATTCCTGAGCCTATCGGGCTCTGTCATATCTACACTTGAAACTGTGTATGGAGTTAGCCTCCACCACATCACTTCCTAATGCATTCCATTTGTCAACCACTCTGACACTAAAAAAGTTCTTTCTAATATCTCTGTGGCTCATTTGGGCACTCAGTTTCCACCTGTGTCCCCTAGTACGTGTGCCCCTTGTGTTAAATAGACTGTCTTTATCTACCCTATCAATCCCCTTCAGAATCTTGAATGTGGTGATCATGTCCCCCCTAACTCTTCTGTCTTCCAGCGAAGTGAGGTTTAATTCCCGTAGTCTCTCCTCGTAGCTCATACCTCTCAGCTCGGGTACTAGTCTGGTGGCAAACCTTTGAACCTTTTCCAGTTTAGTCTTATCCTTGACTAGATATGGACTCCATGCTGGGGCTGCATACTCCAGGATTGGCCTGACATATATGGTATACAAAGTTCTGAATGATTCTTTACACAAGTTTCTGAATGCCGTTCGTATGTTGGCCAGCCTGGCATATGCCGCTGATGTTATCCGCTTGATATGTGCTGCAGGAGACAGGTCTGGCGTGATATCAACCCCCAAGTCTTTTTCCTTCTCTGACTCCTGAAGAATTTCCTCTCCCAGATGATACCTTGTATCTGGCCTCCTGCTCCCTACACCTATCTTCATTACATTACATTTGGTTGGGTTAAACTCTAACAACCATTTGTTCGACCATTCCTTCAGCTTGTCTAGGTCTTCTTGAAGCCTCAAACAGTCCTCTTCTGTTTTAATCCTTCTCATAATTTTAGCATCGTCCGCAAACATTGAGAGAAATGAATCGATACCCTCCGGGAGATCATTTACATATATCAGAAACAAGATAGGACCGAGTACAGAGCCCTGTGGGACTCCACTGGTGACTTCACGCCAATCGGAGGTCTCACCCCTCACCGTAACTCTCTGCTTCCTATTGCTTAGATACTCCCTTATCCACTGGAGCACCTTACCAGCTACACCTGCCTGTCTCTCCAGCTTATGTACCAGCCTCTTATGCGGTACTGTGTCAAAGGCTTTCCGACAATCCAAGAAAATGCAGTCCGCCCAGCCCTCTCTTTCTTGCTTAATCTGTGTCACCTGATCGTAGAATTCTATCAAGCCTGTAAGGCAAGATTTACCCTCCCTGAATCCATGTTGGCGATTTGTCACGAAGTCCCTTCTCTCCAGATGTGTTACCAGGTTTTTTCTCACGATCTTCTCCATCACCTTGCATGGTATACAAGTCAAGGACACTGGCCTGTAGTTCAGTGCCTCTTGTCTGTCGCCCTTTTTGTATATTGGGACCACATTCGCCGTCTTCCATATTTCTGGTAGGTCTCCCGTCTCTAGTGACTTACTATACACTATGGAGAGTGGCAGGCAAAGTGCCTCTGCACACTCTTTCAGTACCCATGGTGAGATCCCATCTGGACCAACAGCCTTTCTAACATCCAGATCCAGCAGGTGTCTCTTGACCTCCTCTCTCGTAATTTCGAACTCCTCCAAGGCCGCCTGGTTTACCTCCCTTTCTCCTAGCACAGTGACCTCACCCTGTTCTATTGTGAAGACCTCCTGGAACCTCTTGTTGAGTTCCTCACACACCTCTCTGTCATTCTCTGTATACCTGTCCTCGCCTGTTCTAAGTTTCAATACCTGTTCTTTCACTGTTGTTTTCCTTCTGATGTGACTGTGGAGTAGCTTTGGTTCGGTCTTGGCTTTGTTTGCTATATCATTTTCAAAATTTTTCTCTGCTTCTCTTCTCACCCTGACGTACTCATTCCTGGTTCTCTGGTATCTCTCTCTGCTTTCTGGTGTTCTGTTATTCCGGAAGTTCCTCCACGCCTTTTTGTTCAGTTTCTTCGCTTCCATACATGCCCTATTATACCATGGATTCTTCTGTTGCTTCTCGGATTTTTCCCTTTGGGCCGGGATGAACCTGTTTACTGCCTCCTGACACTTTTGGGTAACATAGTCCATCATACCCTGTACAGACTTGTCTCTGAGGTCTGTGTCCCAAGGTATTTCACTTAGGAAACTTCTCATCTGTTCATAATTCCCCTTTCGGTATGCCAGCCTTTTGATTCCTAGTTCTTTTTGGGGGGAGATAAGTCCTAGCTCTACCAGGTACTCAAAGTTCAATACACTGTGATCACTCATTCCCAAGGGCGCTTCCATCTTAACTTCCCTTATATCCCATTCATTTAGGGTAAATATCAAATCAAGCATTGCTGGTTCATCTTCTCCTCTCATTCTTGTTGGTTCTTTGGTGTGCTGGCTTAGAAAGTTTCTTGTTGCCACGTCCAGCAGCTTAGCTCTCCATGTTTCTGGTCCTCCATGCGGGTCTCTGTTCTTCCAATCTATCTTCCCATGGTTGAAGTCTCCCATAATTAGTAGTCCAGATCCATTCCTGCTAGCAACAGAAGCTGCTCTTTCTATTATGTTAATGGTGGCCATGTTGTTTCTATCATATTCCTGTCTAGGTCTTCTGTCATTTGGTGGTGGATTATATATGACTGCGACTATAATTTTTTTCCCTCCATTTGTTACAGTACCTGCTATGTAGTCACTAAAACCTTCACAGCCCTGAATATCCATCTCCTCAAAATCCCAGCCTTGTCTTACCAGCAGAGCTACACCACCCCCACCTCTTCCTTCCCTCTCTTTCCTCATAACATAATAGTCCTGTGGGAACACTGCATTTGTTATCGTTTTCGTGATCTTTGTTTCTGTGAGGGCTATTATGTCTGGGTTTTCCTCTAGTACCAGTTCTCCAAGCTCATTTGCTTTATTTGTAATTCCATCTATGTTTGTGTACATCGCTTTGAGGCTCACTTTCTTCTGTCCCTTCTCAAATCGCCTCCTTGGTGAGTGTTCTGCTGGTGGGGGAGGCTGTTCCATGGGTGTGAGGACCTGTGAGGTGGATAACAGGGTCTCAGAGGATACTGGGATGAGGTGCGGGGGATCCAGTGAAGGGGGAGGGACAGGGAGGGTATGGGGTGAAAGGGGAGGGAGGACGGGAAGGAAAGGGGGGGAGGGAGGACTCGGGAGGAGGGGAGGGGTAGAAGGGTGGGGATTGGGTGTGGGGGGAGGGAGATTTTGCTGAACATTTGAGTGGGGGCAGGGAGGGTTTGGGGTAGGGGGGTTTTCTATGCAGAGGAGGGAGGCGGGGTTGTCCTCCCTTCTGGCGTTACTGGGTAGCTGGTTGTGGGTTCCCCCCTCGCCTCTGGGGGTGTTGGGTTGGGAGCTGTGACTTCCTGGTTTTCCCCTCTCGCCCTGCGCCTCTTCCTTGCTTCTGCCGCCACGGCTCTCTCCTCCCTTGTCATGTCTCTTTGGAGGAATACATTTTTTAATTTTCCCACGTTTTTCAGGGAGCTCTTCCTTGATAGGATCTTCTCCTTTGTGTTCTCGTTTGCAAACACTATCTTTATCAATCGGTCTCGGTCTTTGTTGTACCGGCCTAGCCTGAAAACCTTCTCAATGCTATGCTCAGCCCCTTCCATGTCTAGTGCCTTTAGTACTTCATTCACTGCTGCTTTGTCCTTGTCACTCCACTCTGTCCTATTAGATCCTTCCTGTTCCTTAATACCCACAGCAACCACTGATCTGTTCCTTTCCAGCAGTTGGCTAGTGGAGCGTGACCATTTTCTTTGAGGGCTCTAATCTCCTCCTTTGCTGCTGTCAGCTCTCTTTTCAGGTTGCTTATTTCGTTCTTCATTTCCTGCATCATTTCTTGCATCTCACTCTTGGTGTCCTCCAGAAACTGGGCGAACATTTCCTTCATCTCGTCACCTTGGCTCTTTCCTGTTCCCCTGGGACCTCTGGCTGCCATGCTTGACCCTGTTGGGATGGGGGAGGGAGAGAGAGAGAGAGAGGAAGAGAGAAAGAGAGAGAGAGAAAGGGAGTGATAAAGGGAGAGATAAATGGGTGGGTGGGGGGGATCCGACCCTTCCACTGAAGTGAGAAGAAAGTAGAAGGGGAGGGGGGGGGGAGGAGATGGAGAGAGAGGCGGGAGGGAGAGAGAGGAGAGGGAGAGAGTGGGTGAGGGAGAGAGTGGGTGAGGGAGAGAGCGGGTGAGGGAGAGAGCGGGTGAGGGAGAGAGCGGGTGAGGGAGAGAGGGGGGGGGAGGTGTGTGTGTGTGTGTGTGTGTGGGCAGAGAGGGAGGGGGAAGGAAAGAGAGGGAGGGAGAGGGGGAGGGAGGGGGAAGGAAAGAGAGGGAGGGGGGAAGGAAAGAGAGGGAGGGAGAGGGGGAGGGAGGGAGAGAGAGAGAGAGAGAGAGAGAGAGAGAGAGAGAGAGAGAGAGAGCAGGAGAGAGAGAGCAGGAGAGAGAGAGCAGGAGAGGGAGAGAGGGAGTGGGAGAGAGGGAGAGTGGGGAGGGGAAGAGTGTGTGTATGGGCGATGCGGGGGACTGGGGGTGGGGGGGGGGGGGGCGGAGATGGCGACTAAGTCAGGTCAGGTCCGATGGGGGCGGGGATAGTAAGGTCCTATCCCAAGTGTTAATGCCTTTTCCCCTGACTGGACAATTGTGTGTGTGTGTGTGTGTGTGTGCCCGTGTGTGTGTGTCTGTTTTAGCGTGTGCACACTTGTGTGCGTGTATGTGTCAAGATATCCCTTATGCGTTACCTCTGCCTAAATGAGCCACTCTGAGATTTTTAAATATATATGATATCCTGAACGAGAATTTGATAATCTTTTACCTCAATCTGTACACCTGATTAATTGACCAGAGAGGGGTACATACCAGTCTGCCTCCCGCTCACACAACCAGATGAGCGATGTATGATGAGATGGTTATCCGTCGTTGTCTCCCACTAGGTGATTCACTAAGTGCTGGTAGATTGATGAGGTCGTTCTTCTCTTTCAACACAAAGCTCTGGAGTCAGTCACTGTATCGTTATGTGACAGTTCTCGAATTCACTGTACCACTGATCACAGTCACCACTCAACAGCACAATCAGGTAGCTCCACGGCGGGTCGTCCCACCCGGTCAGGTCACACACTTACATGCACCGGTGATGCCCTAGCTCCACTTTTGGTTTCTTCGCCAAATCTTCGCACTATCACTAGCGATATGACTATGCTATGTTGCACCCTGCTAGCTACACACTGCGAGAGGCCAAATACTATGATCTAGCCTCTATACTCCTTCAATGTCCCGAGAAATTGACGAATTTCCGCGGACCTCACAAATCGCGTGTGTCTCCTACCGTCTCCGCGCGCGCTGTGTGTGTAAATCACTCGTAAATGTAAATCGCTGTGTGTGTGTGTGTGTGTGTGTGTGTGTGTGTGTGTGTGTGTGTGTGTGTGTGTGTGTGTGTGTGTGTGTGGGTGTGTGTGAGCCTCACCTAAACTGTATTTACACAGTCGAACGTTAGCTCCTGAGCCCCGACATACAAGACGCAGCGTATCTAATGCATTGATCACCCACTCTTCTCTCTCTCTCTCTCTGGCCATATTTAGGAATTTTTGTTAAGTATATTTGTTCATTCTGTCTCCTTATAAACCATTCTCTTGTTCAATACAATTATACTATTGACGGTTTTCTGAACTCTGCTCTCTACTTTAACTGAACGTTTCTTATATTCTGTCCATGGACTTTATTGAACAAGGTCTTTATTATATATGGACTTTATTGAACATGGACTTTATTATATATGGGCTTTATTGAACATGGACTTTATTATATATGGACTTTATTGAACATGGACTTTATTATATATGGACTTTATTGAACATGGACTTTATTATATATGGACTTTATTGAACATGGACTTTATTATATATGGACTTTATTGGACATGACCTTTTATATGGGCTATTATACATGGCCTATATATCGTGTATGGTCTTAATACAGAATGTATGCTCATTATACGGAAGGATGAGTGTTGGGATAGTAGGATGAGTGTTTGGATAGTAGGATGAGTGTTGGGATAATAGGATGAGGGAAGAGATAGTTGGATGAGTATTGGGATAATAGGATGAGTATTGGGATAGTAGGATAAGTGAAGAGATAGTAGGATGAGTGTTGGGATAGTAGGATGAGTGTTTGGATAGTAGGATGAGTGTTTGGATAGTAGGATGAGTGTTTGGATAGTAGGATGAGTGTTTGGATAGTAGGATGAGTGTTTGGATAGTAGGATGAGTGTTTGGATAGTAGGATGAGTGTTTGGATAGTAGGATGAGTGTTGGGATAGTAGGATGAGTGTTTGGACAGTAGGATGAGTGTTGGGATAGTAGGATGAGTGAAGAGATAGTAGGATGAGTATTGGGATAGTAGGATGAGTGTTTGGATAGTAGGATGAGTGTTGGGATAGTAGGATGAGTGTTTGGACAGTAGGATGAGTGTTGGGATAGTAGGATGAGTGAAGAGATAGTAGGATGAGTATTGGGATAGTAGGATGAGTGTTGGGATAGTAGGATGAGTGTTGGGATAATAGGATGAGTGAAGAGATAGTAGGATGAGTATTGGGATAGTAGGATGAGTGAAGAGATAGTAGGATGAGTGTTGGGATAGTAGGATGAGTGTTGGGATAGTAGGATGAGTGAAGAGATAGTAGGATGAGTATTGGGATAGTAGGATGAGTGAAGAGATAGTAGGATGAATGCTGCGATAGTAGGATGAATATGCTCAAGTTCAGTATTCAACAGTCATCATCACCATAATTGCTTACCACTATTATAAGTTAAATTGTTTCATCATCTCTATGAGCACCTTAGCTTAATATAACTAAGTAATTATTTGGCACTTTATAAATCTGAGAGGATATAATTCATATATATTTTTGGCTAAGTTATATATTAACAATGTGTTGTTTTTTTTTAATTCGCTCATTGTTTATTTTTTCTAATCTCTAAATCTTTTCTAATCTCTTTTCTAATTTTTCTAAAAAGTAATTATTAGTTCGGGAATTAGCACATAGATGGCGGTGTGATAGCATTAAGGAGGAAGTGGCCAATTGTGGTGTTATGATAACCTAATGTGCTCGTTACAGGCTGTACACTCGGACGTGGTTGGCTATCATGGTCGTGGCGACGTGGATAGGTGCCTTTGGAGCCCTGGTGCCTACGCTGCTAGAATTCTGGGGCACCTTTGGCCTGGACCCGGCGATTGGCTCCTGCACCATCTTACCCGATCGGGACGGAAACTCGCCCAAGGAGTTTCTCTTCGTCTTCGCCTTTGTGCTGCCCTGTGTGGCCATCTGCGTCTGCTACGCCCGCATCTTCTGCATCGTGCATAGAGCGGATAAGAAGAGCCACAGCCACAGTCAGCATTTTCTCAAGGTTAACGGCAAGCGTCACAAAAATGTTGCTTCGCCTTGTACGGCTGATCCACCGACGTTGCAGACCCTTCATGCAACTCCGCTACACGATCGTCTCCAGCTTGAGACGCTCGTCAAGCTCTCCACCAGCAGTAATTCCGTTAAGGTGGAGATAGTTGAACCACAGGAGGAGTCTCAGAAAAATGAGGAGAGCTCGTTAGACGGTAATGGAAGGGGGGGCTGTGGGAGCAAGGAAGGCACGCGGACGCCATCTCCTGAAACCACTCCTGCAGGAATGACCACTGACGCCAGTTCGTTGCTGAAGACGGAAGCCAATGGCTTTTCCGGTCATTCTTCAAACGAGGGAGTTGGCGCCTCGTCAGCGGCCTGCTCTCCTATCCGGATAAGTCCTCCAACGGCGCCTGAATCTCCCGCTTCAGTGAAGTCGGATAGAAAAATAAGTACCAACATCGAGAGACGGCCGTCCACTATATCCGGTCGTGGTGGCACTTTCAGCCACCTCCGTGGCACTTTCCGAAGGACACGCGCCGGTTCCTTCATTGCCAGACAACCTACATTGAGTGCCAAGGACCGGCGTCTCCTCAAGATGATCCTAGTGATCTTCTTGTCATTCGTAGCGTGTTATCTACCCATCACGCTCGTCAAGACCTTCAGTAAGGATGACAACCCCGTGCTAAACATCCTGGGTCTCCTCCTTATCTATCTAACCACCTGTATCAATCCTATCATCTACGTGGTGATGTCTTCGGAGTACCGTCAAGCCTACGTCAGCCTCCTGACCTGCAAGCGTGACCACGATCCCGCTAATCGCTCCGTCACTAAAATTTCCTGAAAGCGGTCCAAGCCGCCTATGGTATTATCTCAGCCTCTCAAGACATCGAAATGCGTCATAACAGTGTCTCCAGCTGAGTAGACTTCGTTACCAACCAGGTGGCGCTCTGTGTTTAACATTTCATCCAAATCATTCACTAAGAACATTTATGAGTGTTAATAAGCAACAAAAGTTATGGTTATATTCAGCGCTTTTTTGTGTGTGTACACACACACAAGTTTTACAATATTTCACGTTGTGTTAAAGCCAGTGTTTGCAGGCGATGAGTCACAATAACGTGGCTAAAGTATGTTGACCTGACCACACACTAGAAAGGTGAAGGGATGACGACGTTTCGGTCCGTCTTGGACCATTCTCAAGTCGATTGTCTTGACTATTCCCACAATCGACTTGAGAATGGTCCAGGACGGACCGAAACGTCGTCGTCCCTTCACCTTCTAGTGTGTGGTCTGGTCAACAAAGCCAGTGTTTACTTCCAGGGTCCAACAGAGATTCGTTTGATAAACCAGCTCTCCTGCCTTCCTGTACAGATCTATGTGTCACGTCTTCAAAAGAAAAAGAGTCGACCAATGCTCACTATACTGTTACGGAGTTTACAATTCTCTCTTGCGTCGTTATACCTTTGGTTTACTCTGTAATGATAACTTGATCTAGTATATCTCCTCTGAATGTGATATGCCAGAGAGCCTCACACTTAGTCACACAGTCACACACTCAGCTACAGACTCACCCACACACTCACCCACACACTCAAGCAACAGCTCATGAAACAACTCTTTTGGGAGAAGAGTTTGGAAAAAAAGTGTATTAGAGCTAGGATTAATGACTGTTTTACACTGAAGTACAGCAGAATACAGTAGAAGGCGCCTTACTAACGTCTCTCTTGCTGACGGGTCATCAGAATTACAGGCAATTATAGGTAATTACAGAATTACCTTGTATGTTTTGAATTAACGTCTCTCATCCTCAAATTACACACCTGGGGCCAGATATACGAAGAAGTTACGCAAGCACTTGCGAACCTGTACATCTTTTCTCAATCTTTAGCGGCTTTGTTTACAATTATTAAACAGTTAATGAGCTCCGAAGCACCAGGAGGCTGTTTATAACAATAACAACAGTTGATTGACAAGTTTTCATGCTTGTAAACTGTTTAATAAATGTTACCAAAGCCGTCAAAGATTGAGGAAAGATGTACACGTTCGTAAGTACTTGTGTAACTGCTTCGTGAATCTGGAACCTGTTTTATGGTGCGCAAAAGCGCCTGCGACCTCGGCCAATATTCGCGTCTACAAACTAGAGGCTTTTCGCTGTTTTTCTTTAAGTAAGGCGGAAAAAATATCCTTAATTTGGGAAGCCAAAATCGAATGGATCATTAGAATACTAAACGTAGCTCCACAGGGATAAATTCTGTATCTGATATAGTGAAGGAAAATCTTTATATTTTAGTAAAGAAATTAATTAACCTACGAGCCATAAAGGAAATCAAAGAAAAGCCACACCAGAATTTATGTCATTAATAATGTCTGACGCGATATTGGATGATAAATTCCTCGTTATCAATTTCCGGTATTTCTTCCTCAGGTCTCGTCTCTCCTTCCTTTCTCCTGTCCTCCAAATCTTTATTATCATTCCCTTCTCCTTCCTCCAAACCGGAAGACGCGGCTGCAAACAACAGAGACGCAACGACAAAGACGCAAGGCAATTCATGCGTCTTAGCCAAGATAAAAAAAAACGCACAGCACAATCAATATTCCCGAGAAAATAGCACATGCGTAGATGGAAGACACATGTGACGTGAGACACATCAGGAAAAGACACATACACACACACGCAGGACAAAGAGGAGAATGGACACATGACACATAGAGGCTGAGACACGCTTCAACACATAATTAAGAACCGTTGTCATTACAGAGTAAAGTCGTTTTGGTGTTTCAGTGTTGATACATATGTACATTTTACATTTTTGAAGCTAAATTATCGATGTATTTTTGCTCGCTCGTGTTGACAAGATGTGTGTGTGTGTGTGTGTGTGTGTGTGTGTGTGTGTGTGTGTGTGTGTGTGTGTGTGTGTGTGTTCAGGTAACAGCAACAGCATTCTGGCAAAGCAACATCAGTTCTCTACGAACGTTGGAGCTGCAAGCTTCCCAGTACAGCTGATAGCAAGTGTCAAGCTCCCCTATACGAGAGACAACACACACACACACACACACACACACACACACACACACACACACACACACACACAAACGTGGGATTCACTGCCCTCTACTTACAGTGACTCTCAAAATGCAGAACAAAATTTTGTCCAAAGAAATGAATAATGTAGAAAATCCCGTTAATTTAGAAAACATGACAAATCCCGGTTTTCAGAAACCAAAAATCAATGTGCTGAAGGCATTGACTTTAAGAAAAGAAAATACTTATTATGTCATTCAATTTAGTATTACGGTAAATACAATTGTTGTGTATAAAACAAAGATATTATGTATTGGTCTGTATTTTTATAACTTAGATGATTGTATGTTTTGTATAGATCAGGGAAGCATGTCTTCATGCTTCCCTGATCATGTCAATGTTCTTTAAGGAACTTTTTTATGAGGTTCTGAAATCAGAGAAATATTTTGGAACTTTATGCTGAAGTTTTGGGTTATTGAGAATTATGCGTGAAATTGTTATGGGCTGAGATATTTACATGAAACTGTTATATGCTATTGAGTTAATGAGAAATATATATGAAGTTGTTGTGGATTTAGAAATATACATGAAATTGTCGTAAGTTATTGAGAAATTATACATGTAACTGTTGGGGGGGGGGGTTGCTGAAAAGCATACACGAAAAGCCACTTCAACTATGTATACAATTTATACATCTCTTGTACGGCATTTACTTTTCACAATTATGCTATTTTGATTTTGATCAAGTGATGGCATTGTGCTTGTAATGTTATACACGAGTATATAGTGATGTTCATTCCGTTATGTGTGTGTGTGTGTGTGTGTGTGTGTGTGTGTGTGTATGTGTGTGTGTGTGTGTGTGTGTGTGTGTGTGTGTGTGTGCACGAGAGAGACAAAACTCTAACCCTTCTCTTTCAAATTTAACATTTTCCTGAACGCCATCGAGTTAGATGAGTCGCTCACTAAGTATGATTAGTGACGGTAATTTCACAGAGATAAGAATTATGCCCCGAGAAGGGATAGGATATTTTGGACAATGTCAAGAAACCAATGATCGGTTTGAGGTCATTTCCAGATCCTAAGAGGTTAAGTGTCTGTAGGTAACCACATAATAGGTTCAACTAGGCCAGCAAGAGGGTCAGAAACAGCTTGATCTCACCCCCCTTTCCCCTGAAGACACTATTGGTTAGGTCCTAAACGCCATTTGTCTCTATAATATTGCATTTAAAGCTATATATATATTAAAGTAAATTATATATTTCGGTGAATTTGTGTTGATGAGCCTATTTGGCTTATCGAAGAGACGTGCAGCGCCTACAAGTGTCTTTTGAAGTTTATCATACATATTGAACCCATGTCCCAAATTTGGATCATGCAGATCACGTTCCTTCAAGTTCAAGTTCAAGTATGTTTATTGAGATAAGACGTTCCTTCAATATTCAGAGTCAACCAATTCATACTTTCCAACATTCTCGCGACTTTTCTACAAGTAAACGAATCTAACAGAGTTAGTATATAAACTAGCATTAAACTCTATTGACCTCAATTATATTTCCCATAAATAACTTGCATGAAGCTATTTTTCTTACCTTTGTTCCAAATCAGTAATTATTCAAACTGTGATAAAGCATTAAATTAAGTAGATCTTGGTAATAGAATGATTAGTTTGATAACACAGGGATTACTATTATTAGGATAACGATATACATAGGCATATGCTAGCTTACAATACACTAGCACTGATATGAGTAGGCTGTCTGGTGGGGGTTGGATAGGCTGTCTTGGGGAGGCGAGGGTAGATTGACTAGTGTGTAAGCTATCTGGAAGGATAGGCTGTCTGAGAGGGGGGGCGTGGGTAGATTGAATGGTGGGTAAGCTGTCTGGAAGGATAGGCTGTCTGGGAGAGGGGGGGGGCGTGGGTAGGCTGTCTAGTGAGAAAGATGTCTGGTGATTGGTGTGCAATGGCAACCCAATTAACTCCGCGTCATTACCACAAACAAGTCAAAGTGTGTAAAGGTCAACTCACAGGTCCACATACCTATAAACTCCTCCTCATGGGGAGCTCAACCACTTGGGCTGGACGGTAGAGCGACGCTCTCGCTTCATACAGGTCGGCGATGTTCAATTCCCGACCGTCCAAGTGGTTGGGCACCATTCCTTCCCTCCCCCCCCCCCGTCCCATCCCAAAATCCTTATCCTGACCCATTCCCAGTGCTATATAGTCGCATTGACTTGGCGCTTTCCCGTGATACTTCCCTTCCCTTCCTCCTCATAGGGGAGGGCAGCCATCTTAAACACACATGTTCCCTTCAGATGTAAACAAAACACAACATCAATTATTCAACTGTAATGTTCTTCCCCCTAAAAAACATCAACAACTCATCTTGTTCACTGTACAAAACCATCCAGTAATCTGGCCTGAGATAGCTGTTTGCACTTGAATGGTAAATTCCCTGTTATATGAAATATTAACACTTTTAAACTCTATACATTTTTTTTTCGTCTCCTTTCAAACCGTTTATAAAATACTGTATACATGTCTCTGTGTGTGTTTGATTATGTGATGTTTTAAATATACGTGAAGAGAAAGGGGGGGCCTGTTTATCCAAGCCGGTCTATAGTCTCTTAAGAAAAAAAAAACCTTTTTGTAAACAGAGCCATTTTCACTCGCGTTCATTTCAGGATAAAAATCAAAGAGTTGGGGGGGGCTATCAGCCCACATATCCCAGGATTATAATCTTACTCTTCACCACAAACATCATTGATTCCTCCCCCCCCCCCTTTCTACATTACCGTAAACTCTTTCCGTAATCAATAACATCAATTCAAAAAAGTGTCGTCCGTCAAATCTTTTCGTACTGTTTGTAAAATCCAAATATTTTCTTGTTGTATGTAAAACAAAAATCCCTCAATTTCATGCTTTACAACCAACAAACTACTATTACACCCCCGAACAATGTTATACAAGCTCAAGTTAGAAGGAACGAATTACATTTTAGATATCTTTCAGGCGATAACGGTTTCAAGATAATGTCATACAGTGTAATCGCCCTTTTTTTGGAGTTGAAACCTGTTTCCCCTTATCACGAGTCGTTTTGCTGTGCTGCATTGTTAACTTGGTATCGCATGCTGTGTAAACAATCTTCCAGACTTGTTATCTTTGAAAAC